TTTATTTCAACACAAAAGTTGTGTTCATTTGAATGAAAGAAAATTCAAATGTAATGAAGAAAATTGTGGCAAAAAATTCAAATCAAAACACAGTTTAATTCAACACAAAAGCATACATTCGGGAGAAAACCCATTTGTTTGTCATTTTAATGATTGCAACAAATGTTTTCGCTTAAAATCCGATTTTTCAGTACATATTAAAAGACATCTGAATATAAAACTTCATGAATGTATTCATAATAACTGTAATCAACGCTTTGTTACGAAACAGGAATTAAATAAACATTTTAATAACAATCATATTCTGTGAAAACAATAATAAATTTGTTGCTAAAAGTACTAAAAATAATTTTAAAATATTAACATAATCTCATAACTTATGAGTCATAAGATTCATAAAAATAAATAAAATTTAATTAAAACTGTAATTGTTAATAAATGTAATAATATTTTAATTACATTTTAGTAAAATCATATAATTTAATTTAATTGTAAATAAAATAAAATTTAAAACATTTATTTATTAATTTTATAAAAGTGATTACCATAAATAAATGTTTCATTAAAATCTACTATTAATTTATTTATTAAAACTCTATATTATTTAACTTTAATTTAATTATAATAAACGCAATAAAACTTGAGTTTTATTTAAAAAAAAGTTTCAAACAATATTTAATGCATTTCCTGAACGATTGCAATGAATGGGGACTCAAAATACAGTGTTATAAATGAGCCGTAATTTATGAATGAGTTGTTAAAACATGTGAATCACGTGTTGTTTTGTTTGCAATTAATAACAACCTATTAATTGATTTAGACTTGAATTAGACGTTTGTGTGGACACAAGTAGTGATGTCTTCGTGAGTGTTGTCTTCACATTCTTCTGGATGTCATCGAGTGATAGGTTTGTATGGATTGTGACAAACCATGCGTTCAATTGTCACAACTCTTTGTGTCTTTCAAACCAGTCTTCCGAAGACTTATCAGTCAATTGTAGAGTCGTTTGTCGCCCACCAAAAGCCGTATAAATGCCATTATAGTGAATGCAATAAAACATTCGCCACTCAATGCCGATTGAATGCACACAAAGACCGCAGACATGCCGTCGAAGACATCACTCCTCGGGAACCGATTGTTAGCTCAACCGATGCCAGAGACCAGTCGACGACAGGCGCAGATGACGGCCAACAGCGGCAGCCAATGGCCACTACGGCTGTCCCACCAATGGTGCCGACAATCACATCCACTTTCAGTCCCGACAGCCAATCGCTGGACAACACGTGCGATGAGTATGTGTTGTGTTTTAAGAGCGCTTTAAGTCATGGTTTTAATTGTTTTCTCATAAAATATAGCGATTCAGACACTAATATCGAAATCGTGGCCACAATACCGGCGGTAAACACCGGCCAAACACTCGGTGACCAACAAATGGCGAACACTTCACTCGTGGACAACAATCCGTGCCTTAAGTACTGTTTGAAACAACTCATTATTTGTTAACACAAATTAATTTTTACTCATTTATCACAAACAGTAACATTAATACAAATACTGGCCACTCGTCGCCCACGACTGTCCTATCGGTGCAGTCAATCACTGTCACTAGTGATACAAACAACAGGTATTTTATAGCTATTGATTTAAGCCATTAATTAATTAACTTTATTTAATGTCTATACTATAGACTCTAGACTCTAGTGGTTTGGACTCTGATCTCAAAGTTATAGCTGCAATACCGGAGCCTAAAAGCACAGCTGATATAAAGCCACTGGCAATCCAGTCGGCGGCCGCAGAGACACCCATTCAGACATTTTCCATGGACACTACAGTGGCTGACGTTAGACCAGTACAGCCCACGACTGTCCCACCGGTGCAGTCAATCACTGATCCAAACAACAGGTATATTAAAGCCATTGATTTATGCAATTAATTGATTGTGTATTTACTCTATATCTCTAGTGATCTAAAACCTGATCTCAAAGTACTAGTTGTCAAACCGCAGCCAAAACACACCGTCGATACAAAGCCAGTGCCGACCACTGGACACACATTAGACCAGAAATATATTGAGTAATTGTTATGACTAATGCGTTAATAAACAACACATTCATTGTATCATAATTTTTAACCACAATTAGGATTTCCGATACGAGTAGTGATGAAAACAGTGGACTTGAAATAGTGGCTGAGTATCGGCGCGACAATTGCTGCCACTCATTGACCGGACATACGGCTGACGGCCAGCAATTAGCTGAGTCTAAAGTGGCCGTCAGTTCAGATATCAAGATAGAGAGCCAAACAGTGACACCGGCGGACACAAAGCCAGCGATTGTCTATCGGGCGCATCCGTGCGGTCGATGCACGCAATTGTTTGATACGGTCGACCAATTGGCGGACCATAAGCTGACGTGTCGGCGGTGCCCGATGTGTGACATAATGTTTGCCAACGGGTTTCTGCGCGCACAGCATATGGCCGCTCATCACCGGAAACGCAAACCACCGAAACGGGTCAGAAAACCGGCAAAACTGGTCAGCAAACCGACACAACCGGTCCGCAGACCAACCAGACGGTTGCCCAAAACGAAACCGATAAGGTTTTTATGCAAACAGTGTCCGATGCGCTACACGTCGGCCGTATGGTTCGCCAAACACAAGGCCCGCGTCCACCCACACCCCCGCCGCCGGCCTAAACTTAAACGCTGTCGGGGGTGCAAAAAGCGGTTTCTAAACGCGCCCGAACTCTACAAACACATGGTGTGTGTCCACCCGGAGCTGCTCTACCCGTGCGATCTGTGCCAACGCAAGCCGTTTAAGAAACTGCCGCAACTGATTGGCCATCAATACAGAGTCCACTCGCAGCCGATGCCCAACCCGTTTACGTGCGATGAGTGCGACAAACAGTTTCTCAAAGCTAAACACCTGTTCCGTCACAAGAAGTCCGTCCACTCAATGGTATTTCCGAAGTGCAAAAAGTGCAGCAAATGTTTCGCCACTTCCATGGGTTTGAAAGCGCATAAGAGGGCTAAAAAGCATTGATTTTATTGTGTTTTTTAATATAAATTTAATGTTTTGTTAATTCAATTGATTTTATTTGTAAAATATTTATGTTTTGACATTTTTTATAACAAGTATTTTGTATTTTTATATTGAATGTAAAATTAAACTTTTAAATGCTTTGTCAATACAACGCATAAAAGGGAATAAAAACATCGATTTTTAATGTTTTAAGTTTAAAACTAATTGTGTTATTAATTGTACTTTAATAATGATTTAATTTTATTGATTGAAATGATTATACTTTAAAGTATTGAATGTTTTTATCTGTATTTTGGGTTTTATTGAAACAAGTTTTTGAGATTTATATGTTAAAAACAATTTTGAATATATTTTGTGATTGTATTTATTATGAATAAGTATTTTGTAAATTGTTTTATTTTATGTCAATTTTATTATTTTTCTCCGATATGTTTGCGATTTAAATGTAATTTTAATTCCTGTTTCGTAACAAACTGTTGATTACAGTTATTATGAATACATTTAGATGTCTTCAATCATCAGTGATGTCCACCACATCCACGACTGAAGGGATGTCCGCTGCCATCGGTGTGTCCACTGGGGCTGTCATCAAATGCGGGTGTTTTTTGTTGATGTGATTCTGGAGACAAACACGGCTCTGATAGGACTTCTGGCACTCTCGACAGACAACTGTGCGATGCGTTTCGCACACAAACACAACACAAAACAAAAACATTGAATTGAAAAAAAGCAAAGAGAAAATGCAATTTTACTTGTTTTCAAGATTTTCATTATTTTGCCAGCCGTGCGATCGACGTCTACTCTCTGGTCAGCGGCCAGTTGTTGGCCCCATTCGGCCGCCCCGTTCTGGTCCTTTCTCATCACGTTTAGCATTCCATTGATGCCTACCTGTGCCGACTCGGCGATGCTGTCCACCTGTTTCTGCACCCGTTTTTCCATCGATTGGCGCATAACGTCAACGCCGGTGACGATAATCTCCGACTGCACGAGTAGTCGCGTCTATTGACGGGTCGACACAAACATACGGATTAATTAATTACTCAATTAGTGGCTTCACTCGAGTCGAGTGTCAGTACACTTACCCTGCGTTCTGCCATTTCCTTATAGCGTTTAGTTTTGGCCTTTTCTTTGGCCAACACTTTGTCGAACGACTGGCGCTGAGCCAACAGTCGGGCCTCGAGTTGAACCTCGAGTTGGGCCTCGAGTTGGGCCACGTTTTCCATGAGTGTCTCGTTCTGGTCTCTAAACCCCAGGTTCTCCTCCAATAGGGTGTCGTTCTGCTCTCTCAACCTCTGGTTCTCGTTCTTGAGCTCAACGATCTTCAATACTTGAGAGGTGACCAGCGGTGGTGTGGCCAGCAGTGGTGGCCGCGAGTCCGACGTATACCCAGAGTCACAACTGTTTTGTGGCTCCTGTAGGGGTGACCCATCCCTGGCCGCGACAGTCCTCTTCAAAATGCGTCGCTTAGACATCGCTTTATCTGTGATTGTAATTAAAAATAATTAATTTAATTAATAATAGCAGATAATTGGCATATAATGTGTATTTATAGTCAATTAATTTATACCGAGTGTTTATAAACTGTTTATAAAAATTATTCATTTTATAATAAACTTAATAAAAGTAATA